GAAGAGGTACTTTCTTAGAAGGAGACCCGCACCCAGGAATCAGTGAAACCACGAACTTTGGATGCAAAAGCAAGAGGCTTTATTAGTAGCACGGGTACCCGGGACTTAGCTTCTGTTTGGCCAAGCCCCGAGCCCCGGAAGGGGGGTCCTTTTATAGGGGAAAAAAGGCACAGTACAGAAGCGAAAAGCATCAAATCAGCATTTTCTCAAGGTTTAATAGTCAGGCGAAACGGCCTTATCTTCTGCTGGTCCAGATGGCTGGTCTTGGGACGGAGCGATCCGGAGCGATCTGGCGGGGGCTGGCCTTGCTCGGGGCGGGGAGTGAGAGCCAGCAGCTGTGGGGATCAAGGGTCGGGGAGTGCAGGGGAGGGGAGGATGTATTCGCGCGCACGCCCCGCCAGCTGCCGACCAGAGTAGGAGGCAAACTTAAAAGAAAAAGCTAAGGGCGGGGGTCTTTCACTGTTTATAAAAACATGAGAACCTTAGCTTGGATCCCCAAATCCACAGAAAACCCAGGAGTGAGTGTCAGACAGTGTGCATCTTTATTCCAGTGCTGGAGAAATGGAGTCAGAGATTCTTGGAGCCCTTTGGCCTTCTTGTCTAGGCAGATGGATGAGCTCCAGATTCTTTAAGATCCTTCCAGCCTATCCAAATTGAGGAAGCTCCAGGTTATTAAGATGGAGCCTACCTTAGGTAAGGTTTCTATTACTATGATTTGCAGTGGCATGTTGCCTTGCCAGTGAACTTGTGGTGGTGGACACACCCTTTGGGCATGGTTTCAGGTTCAGATGTGAACCATTATAAGGTAGAGGAGGGGCTGGTTCGTGCTCTCTTGGGTTGGGTAGAGCATCAGAAGGTTTACACTCTTCCTTACTGTACTCTTATCTCTGTAAGTGCTTCCCTAATAAATATCTAATTGTCATTTATCTTGGGTCTGGTGGACTCATTTAAACCCCACTTTCAGTAATCAAACATTGTGGTCATATGCAATTTGGGAAGAAAGGGGTTTATTTTTCTCTTTCAGATTGTAGTTCATCATCCAAAGCTCTTGGGGGCAGGAGCCTATACTTAGGAACTTAAGCAAAAGCCATGGAGAAGTACTGCTTACTGTCCTGTGCTCCATGAATTGCTCAGTCTGCTTAAAACACCCATGACCATCAGCCCAGAAGTGGCCCTACCCACAGAGAACTGGACCCCACCACCTCAATCATCAATCAAGAAAATACACCACAGGCTTGCCCATAGTCCTCCAGTAGAAATATTTTCCAGTTGAGATTCCCTCCTCCAAAAGGACTCAAGCTTGTGTCAGTCAATATAAAACTAGACAGCATAGACAGCAATAGAAGAAGACATGTAACATCTACCACAGGTCTCTACATATGTGTGAATGCACATACACACACAGAAACACAAGCACTTACAATGTCTCTGATACTCTGATACAAACTTTGTGCTAAGATCTGGAAAATAATATGAAGAAAACATGGATTTCTTACTGATTTTATACAAAATAAAAAACAAAACTATAGCTAGTGTGCCTCACAAAGGAGACTGGATGATATCCTGCCTTGGAATGTGAGCATTTAACAAAGGAATTTATTCCATAATTTAGTCTCCTAGAATTTTAATAGTGATAATTATCTACCTTTGTGAACTTTTCTCCTTTTATTGGTAATATAATATTATATTTCAGTGTTCCAAGGAAATGATTCAGCTTAGCAATAAAATACAAGAATTTTAAGTAATTTGTCAGAGCTGTTAAACCAGTAAAAAAAATTAAGAATACCCTTCTGTTTTCTGAGCATAATGATTCCATGCCTCAGTTAGTTCTGCAGGAGAAACCCAGTTCTAGCATTTCCTGTTTACACTCTTCCTTACTATACTGTGAGTTAGCAGAATGAGACAAAGCCCATTGGGAAAGAGCTCATAAAGTACAACACACGAGATACAACAGGACTCAGCTTCTACAACAGCAGTCACCACAACTTCTCAGAACTCTACTGCTGATTCTTGCAACACAACAAATAAATATTCATGAAAAATGGAAACTCGGAAAATCTGCAACAGAATGGATTCCTTAGTATATATCCTGAGGCCTAGTAGTGATACACTTTATCTGTGGATAGAACTAAATCCTAGGTATGCATATGAAAAATAAAGTGCTTAGAACTTTTTAAATATGAAATGGGAGGTCCTTAAAGATCATTGAACAGGGAAGTGATGCAATTTAGGTTTTGTTTAAACAAAACAAAACAAAACAACAGTCTGGCTTCTCTGTAAATCATCCAAGCATATGAATCTAGAAGAAAAGCATTCAAAAGGATGTTGCAATAATCCATATTTTAAGTATTTGTTTATGTATAATACATGTGTTGTGTGTGCACTTGGAGACAGAATAAGATAAGCTTGCTGGTGAGTTGGAGGAGAGGGTTAAGGAGAAAGGTAGAAGCTTGATTGTAACCAAGAGGATGGAGATTGTGCTGATGGAGACAAGACAGCATCATAGGAGAAAACAGAGAAAGCAGAGGTCATCGAGGACTCAGGTGGGGACATTGGTTTGAGTGAAATTCCAGCTTAATTTTCAGGCTGATATATCTACCTAACTGTTGTGTCTTACTCCTTACCATATGAAATTAAGAAACTCAGGAGTGAAGTTATGAAGTTTACATTTGGAACAGTGATGTTGAAGACATGGAACAAAAGATTTCTCAGGAAGAGAGTTAATGAAGAAATGAAGGGAATTTCAGAGATCAGACTGAGCAAGGGATGATCACCCAAACTGGAAGAGGAACAAATGGACTCTTACAGCGTCAGGATGGTGTGGCTCCATGGAACTGAAATTCCATAGGAATAGATGCATGAGGACTGAAGTGTATCTCTTCTGTATGAAATGATACTTCATGTATGAACACACTGAGAACCAAGAAGTGACTGAGCTTCAGCAGTCTGGATGTCAGTTGTGACCATGACTCGTCAGTGGAGTCAGGGGCGATAATAGACCGCTTGATGGGAACTTGAGAAAAAGACAAAAGGTGAAGAGTGTTGAGTCAGAAAATAGTCAAATTGTTCAATATGTGTTGTTGTCTAGGTACATGACAGCTGATGGAGAAGTCAAGCTAAAGAGAGAAATTGACATTGAGGCAAAGGAGATAATAATTGCAAAGAAAAATGGTCCAGAGATACTTACATCATCAAGAAATGCTTACATTATCAACAAAATAAGAAATTTGATTAAGTGTGGCACAGATTGAGAGAAATTTGTCATGTTGGTTGGAAAGCAGAGACTCTCGGGCAACTTCATTTTATCATGAACTGGCAAGTTCATCTTCCCATGTGTAGGAAAAAAGGTGGTAGGAGGCTGAGAAAGAAAGCAAGACTCTTACTTAAGAGATAATAAATAATAAAATGTTTTCAATATTTTTACAGGGAACCTTTGAGATGATTATAGCATTGCCATATGAAATTAAAATTCAAAAATCTAAACTACGTATGAGGATTTTATTCTGATTTTTTTTCTAATGATAACAACTCTAAATCTTTTTGAAAAGGGAAAATTCTTTAATGTTGCAAAAAACATTCTTCTTCTGCCTTAGCTGTTTTCTTTGAGGACTCAAAGTTAGGCTTTTTTTAAGATTTTTTTTCTTTTACTAAAGAAAGTAGAGAGAATAGAAAAAGCATTCCAATGATTAAAATCTCAAAGAAGGGGTCACATGGGACAAGTGTCTAGAAACAGGAGTTAGCTCCTCCAACTCCTCATTTTTATTAAGGTTCAATAGACCTTGTGGTTGCTGCATACTGTGCTAAACAGACAAATAGAGATACACTTTGCTTCCAATACTGTAGGATCAGTTACACCCTTCGCTATATGTGCTCATGGGACTCATACATGCTGATTATTCTGGGCACTGCCAGAATATTCTGGGCACTGGTAACTTTGTACTTGTAGACTTTCTACTTGTAGAAGTAGAAAACAAGGAAGATAACTTGCAGAGGAAACTTTCATCAATTTCCATTATAAAACTGGAACTTTATTAGCTACCAACAAATCAAATACATAGCAAATACATTTAGAAACAAGAAAGGGCACTACAGTAAAATGTAATGAGGTATATGTTGGCACATACCATCAAATTTATTTATTCATCCCTATTTATGTGCTAAGCAGTATGCAAAATGCTGGGCATACATTGAACAGAACATTAAATTTTCTATAACAAAGTTGTGCTGCCTCACAGCTAAAACACAAATCGACTAAAAAGTTTCACCTTGTAAGAAGAAGCATCTATACCGTGAGTGTCTGCTCAAAGAGCAAGCTCACCTAAGTCCTAGTAACCTGGGTCTGCATCCAGTTTGTCTAAATTTCAGTTGCTCAGCTGCAAACGACAGCCTTGAATGAGATGACCCTGTGATCACTGTACAGTGCTAGTTCCGAACGTAATTTATTAAATGTGTACATGCAGTATGATTGCACACAGAATAACTGGTGTCAAGCGACCAGAGTGATTAATAGCTTTTTACATTGTGTTTCTTCAAGGCAACTGCTTCATGAAGAATGCATTCCCATTTCTAGCTCGGAGGTAAAGAAAACCTCTTCATAGGGAGTCTAAGAAGTGCTGAATAGGCACCTGAGCCTGATGACAAACCCAGACCTGCCAAGTCTGCGTGCAAATCGGTCTCCACTGACTACGGAGGGACCGCTACATTTCCTGCTCCCACTGTATGGAACCATAAAGAAATCATTCATAAACCACCCAAGTGCCTTTGAAGCATTTTCAAAATTTGAAAAGCCAATATACATATAAGACAATGATAACAAATTAAAGATTTAAATTATGTATTTGTAATCTGTACCAAATCAAAGGCCCACATTGTCTTTCTAAGGAGAAAATATTATTACTTATTACATCTACTCTAAGGACTCACTCTTGCTTATAGGGAGAGAGGATAGAAAAGACAGCTGAAAGTAAGTGCCAATGATGTCAATTTTTCCAGAGAATAAAGATGCTCTAGGAAGAAAAATATGCAGAAAGTTACAATGCTGCTATACTTTCTGGAATATGGAGGATTTGGTTCTTGGTTGTTTGATCCATCAACAGAGCCTTGCTCAAACCTGCACATAAAACTGCTCTGCTCCTAGTCATGCAAGCTGCTTTCCTTGGATTTTGCAGTTTGCTTAATCATGGTCAAGCACAAAGGTAATGAAAATCAGATGTAGCTTTACACAAAGGCAGATGTCTACCCACAAATACCTTTTTCCAACACATGGTGTTACTGAAGACATCATCAACAGGGAAGATAATCCTTTGTTTTTCAACAAAGGTAAATAATTTTGTCTGTTAGGAAGAATTGCCAATTCTGCTAATGTATGTATCAATTCTCATAATACTTACATGTAGTATGTAGGATGACAGTATAAAGGGACAAAACATCTAAACCACTTACTTAATTCAACGAGGTTAAAATCTAATGACTTTAAACTTAGGTGAAAAAAATCACAAAAGTTAGAGTCTTTTATTAGTGTAAGAAAAATGCAACAAAAGTCAATTAAACAGTGGCTGGAAAAATGAATCATCTTCTTGAAGAGGACCCAGGTTTGGTTCCCAGCACCCACATGGGAAATAATAACAGTTCATAACTCTGGCTCCAGGATATCTGATAGTCTTCACTGCCTAAGCAGATACTAGCCTTTTATGGGGCACATATGCATACATGCAGACAAGCACATATACTCATAAAAGAAAAACAAATCCATTAAGCAATGTAATCTTACAATTTGCATCCTAAACACCAAAAAGCCTGTGTGTGTGCTTGTATATTTATATGTTATATAAGTTTGAATTTTCACACGGTGTGGCTGATTGCAATAAATTGTTGAGATACAACTAAATAGGAAGAGAAAAATATTATTAGGACAATAACATAGAGACAAAATAGAATACTATGGAGAATCTGCAGAAAGATAGAATGGTAAAATTAAATAAATGGGCTAATTCATAACTTAATGAAATCTAAATTCTGACTCAATTTCAAATTTGGTACTTTCAAAAGGTAGAGATAAATGAAGAGATCTACATCTCTCAAAAATGAGAAGGAAAAGAAGAAAAGCCTGTAGGAAATGGAAACTCTTGAATGATTCCTTTGTGGAGGGTATGTACAAAATTAACTACATCTGTATATACTTTGTTCATTATCCCAGAGATCTTTGTAAAAAAAAAGGGGGGGGGGAAGATACATATTAAGAAATTCTATAAGATCATTTAAGGGTTTTGTCTTATTTAAAGTTTTTTTGTTTTTAGGGTTTTTTGTTTTGTTTTGTTTTTTGTTTTTTGGGGGGTGTTCTTTTGTTTGTTTTGTTTTTTTGCTGTGAAAAGACAATGTGACCTTCAGCACCATTGTTTTCCATGCTCCTAGTAAGGTGTCCAATGAAGCCCCACTCAAAGCATTCAACTGCTTTTCTAACTTGAACTCTCAAAGTCTACATTCCTCCAAACAAAAACATGGTCTGGCCTATCACAGCAATACCCCACTCCTGGTACCAACTTCTGTCTTAGTTAGGATTTCTATTGCTGTGAAGAAACACCATGACCATAGCAACTCATATAAAGGAGAACATTTAATTATGGCTGACTTACAGTACAGAGGTTAATCCATTGTTGTCTTAGCAGGAAGCATGATATGGCATGCAGGCAGACATGGTTCTGTGTAATTATCTGAGAGTTCTATACCTGGATCCACAGGCAACAGGAAGAAACAGTGCCCCACTAGGCCTAGCTTGAACATTTGATACCTCAAAGCCCACCCCGTGACACACTTCTTCCAACAAGGCCACACCTACTATAAAAATAGTATGGTATAAAATTATGTAATTACATAATTTTTCTATGTATTTGGGGCTAAAACAATTTAAATAGAATATTTACTCATTTGGACATAGTCAATTAAGCTCCCACCTCATTATTAAAATCCACTGTTAATGCATTGCTATGTAACTTTTTCAGTTAGTATTTTGCAGTCTCAACACAGAAATGTGGTCAACCAAAAAGTTACTGTAAGTGTAAACCATACTAAGGATTATATACTAAATTGCCCTTGGTATAATGCATTATTTTAAGAATCACTCGTAATCCTTAGTTCTGGAAGGAAATTTGTCAGTTTGTAAACTGTTACCATGTAAATGATTGAGTGTAAATGGGCTTTAGAGAGAAATTTCTCCCTGTCTCCTCTCCCATGGCACCCACATTACAATTTTCAAATTGTAAGCAGACTCTTGGAAATTGAGCCAAGACTGAAGCCCTTCCTTCAGGACTGAAGGGTGCCAGATGGAGTGGTCAGAGTCTTCTATTACTGTAGTATTCTTTTCCTCCATTTCCTATGACAGTGTATTTCCTTTCTGTGTAGGGATTCATGTAACTTCAAGCATTGTATATGCTGTACAAATATATTAAATCTGTAACATCTAAGATAAATTTATTCTTAAAAATTACCAATTTTTAATTTAATCAGCTTATTAAAAATGTCCCTTTTGAGGATCCAGTAAGATGGTTCAGTATGTTTGTCACCAAAATTTGAGACCTGAAATCAATCTCTGGAGCAAACTGATTCCCTCAAGTTGACCTATGACCTCTATGTCATGGCATACACTCTCACACACATAAACAAATAAATAAATAGGGGCAAAAAGCATTTAAGCTATCCCTATGAACATCTGTCTCATTGATTGTCATGAACTAGTAGTTACTATCATTCTCCTTTTTCTGTTTTCTTTAGCAATCTCCTCATGTTATTTGACATACAATATGGTATCTTCATTTTTTGTCCGTGGCATTTTTACAAGAGCAGAAGATGCCTCATGTCCATGTTAGCAAACTCCATAGAGTAAAAGTAAAATAGTTAGCACTTTAAAATAGAAGAACAAAGTTGCCAGTTGACAATCCATGAGTCATATGTGGTTGCTTCATGTATTGGCCTCTGACTTTAGAAAGATGCTTAACAGTGTGAACCAATCTTCCAGAATTCAGCGATTTCAAAGACTATGAACAGAGATCCTAGTGCTTTCATAGAAAATGAGACAATGTGGCAATAAGTGGTCTCTTCTCCCATAGCAACCATTGGCTAGAGCTGAATATGTGTACCAAGTCAATTTTATTTGAAAACATTATCTGGATGCCACAGGAGTTTGCATTTGTGAAGATACCCTTCACAAAGTATACGGCAGTGAAATCTATGTGATGTGTTTGGAAGGTAGTCTATAGACCATGCTGAGATATCTTCCAAGCTCCTCACCAGCATTTTTAAATCTTTGAAATTATATCGAGTTTGACATAGACTGTAGAATAATGCTACATTCAAATTTCAGAACATGTCAATTTGTTTCTTATCAAGAAGTTGCATTTAAAGTTTAGTTGTACACAATTTCTTTTGAAGCATGCATTCCTCCCAAATTCAGAAGTTGCCATTGAATAAAGCTTAATTAAGTTTATTTTCTAAACTACCAGGTGTTATTATGCACTCTGGATAATTAATTTAAAGTAAGACATTCATTAGGAATGGACTTTCATGAAAACTAAAGGAAACTGTTACCCAAAATACTTACAAATGATATTCCTATATTCATCCTATGATTTGGAACATCTGCTCTTTAAGTGGACATAAAACATTTTTCCCTCCCCTTCTCTTTTTTAGGTACGTCTCAGCCATCTGGTCAAGCATGTCAAAAAAATGTAAAAGATTTTGAAAAGGACATAAAGGGATACACCTCAGAGGCTGTGTTCCATCAGACTGGGGCATTAGGGAAACAGAAGGAAAATGGAGATGAGTGTGTATCTGCTTCTATAAATGGAAAACAGAGTTCCTCTCTTCTCCCCAAAGATGAGAAACAACCTCCACCTGACAGCAAAATACACGAGAGGATGGAGAATGATGGTCCTCCTCCAGCCGTCTCTCACCCACTAGAGGAAGTCTTACCAGTGGCCATGTTTAATGACTGTGAGAAATCGTTATCGGGGAAAATTACAACACAGGATTTCCCAAACACAGTCGAAGCCTTAAAGCCAACAAAAGGCAAATTTATTACAGAAGGCAAATGTGGGGCTTTCAACATACAAGTGGAAACCACAAAAAGCATTTTCTGTAAAACAGGAGCACAGTTTCCCATGAAAAAACGATGTCCAACATGTCACCAGCTTTATTCTATCCAGCAAGTACAGAGAGGATATGCATCTCGGGGCCACTTCCCTAAATACAGTACTATATTAGCAGAAGAGTTCAAACACAAGGTCACATCTGCATGCAAAGGAGAGGTTTCTAGAGGTGAGATCCCTTCAATAAACATAAGCATTACAGGAAAAGAAATCGTGGTTGAGTATGCAAGTAAAAAACAGAACATATTCATCAATGTATCTCATCCTAAAAGCACAGGAAAATCGACAAAACATAGGAAAAGTTTCTTGAGTCACAACGGGAAAGAACCTTGTCAGTCTCCTTCACAGCCTGCCATAAATCACCCCGAAAACTGGAGGCTTGAAAACCAAAACCAGAGTTCAGATGGTTTGCATGATGCTTCCCGTCATGTGAATACTGCCCAGAAAGAGAATTCAGACAAAATTATGCTTTCTGTAAGTTCACCTCTCTGGAGAGAGAAAAAGAAACCCAACACACTGCCTTCTGACCCAGATGATACTGAAGAGAGAGATTCTGCCATGTCTCAGCAGGTCTTTCAAATTATTCAAGACAAACCCTCAAAGCAACATTTCTTCTTGGCTGACACTTGTCTTCCTACCCCATCTGAAACTTTAAGGACCACAAGCTTAAATAATATGGATTTAAGTAAAATGTCTTTTGAGGATTCTGTGGATGTGGATAAAGAGAGAAAAAACAAGTCTGATGTCAAGGAAAATGTACCTTCAGATTCCCAAGGACAGCCGTGCACAACAGGAATAAATGGTCCCCTAAGTAGCATGGATGGTGTAATTCCCATTCAGGAAGCCTCAGACTCTGAGGTCTGTCCTTTGTCTTCTCTAACCATGCAGCTCTTGGGAGAAAAAGCAGCCAGCATAAGCTGCAGAGCTGACAGAACTCTACCAGCCGAAGGTGGTGATAACTCAAGTTCTCTATCTTTCCCTGTCAGTGAACAAGTTCTGAAGCCTTCTCCTTTACTCAGCCCATCTCACTGGGTCACAAGACATTCAGAACTTGTACAGACTCCTGAGAACACGTTTTTCTTTAGCCAAGATAATGGGGTTGAGACAGAGCAGGAGAAAGTACACGGCAATGTGACTTACAGAGACATTAACGAGGCTGTGTTACATAGTGACTCTTCTGCAAACACACAGCTATTGGAAAGGAAAAGCACACAAAATCCAACTGTCAGGTTTGCACCCTGCAGCAGCCTAGGTTCAAGTAGCCCACTTCATGGCATTATACCTACATCTGTGGAATGGGATCAAGAGGACCATGCAAATCATGTAGAGACGACAGCCCTCAGTGGAACAGACTTTCCAGTCTTGGCCTCCGTAACTGATGAGTTAGAGCAGAGAGTCACTACTCAAAATTGCCAAGAAGGCACAGTTGAGTCTAACTTCCCTGTGGCAATAAGAAACCCTAGAGAGTCATCAGGCTTTCTGGAAAATGTTGAAGATGACAAATGGCAGGCACAACCAGTGGTAAAGAGTGTATGCCACAGAGATTTTGAGGACCTACCTAGTGAGAATCAGAATGAAGTCTGTTCTCGAATGGATTTTCCACCAAACTCCTCTGGGTCTGCCTGGACAGGGCAGTCTATGGAAGAGCTGTTTCGTATTGACAAGACACTAACCAGTGACAGAGATCCAAATAATAATGAAGGTGACAAAAGTCTTGAACTGAACAACTTCCAACAGGAGCCAGCAGAGTGCCAGAGAACTGCATTAAGAGGACAGCCTGGAGAAAGCGAGGATAAAGGCAGCCCCACAGAAACTTCCTATCACCCCGTGGACATATTGCTATCACCACAGAAGCAGAAGGCTCAAAAAGGTACAAAGGTTAAACAGAATTTTAAGCATTTGTTATTATTATGTGTGAGAGCCTTGAACAGTCATGGGTGAAGTACTTTTTACTGCTTGGGGATTTTTTTTTCCTTTTTGGCAAGATGTGTTGAATATTTCAGACTTATACAAATACGAATAAGGATAAATCAGCCTGGCTCTTTGCTTTAAAACCAATTTTAACCATAAGTAATGTGTAGAAAAGTCACCATAGCTGCAGCTTAATAGAAAATAAAAATTTTATCTTTAAAAGATCAGTATATTGGCAAATCAATTTTGTTGAAAATGTTAGCCTGTGCCACTCTTAAATAATCTACTATTTCTTCCAGTCTTGTAAGGTAAGCATGTCTAAAAGCATAGGAAGAATGTGCTTGTAATAAAATGTGTTTTCAAACATTGCTATAGTGTTGCATGGACAGGGTCATTCATATCTCTAGGGCCATGTGGAATAGTCATTAAAGCAAAGGACAAAAGCCAGAAACACCCTTAACTAATCCTGACTGAACCATCCACAGGACCTTTAACTCCAACAGCCCTCTGACCTCCGTTTTGTGTTGCCTGCTCTTGCTCCAACAGTTGACACAACCCAGGAAGTCTTAAGACCTCAAGAAGGGCTAAGATGGAAGCCTTTTCCTAAGTACATAATGCTCTCTGTCTGGTTTCAATCTTCATACAGAAAAACATCACTTCATAAAAGGTCCCTTGTATTTCTCAATGAGTCCAAATTATTTGATAACTAATGTTAACTTCATTGCATAGCATAAATTAAAATACATCATGAATAAGTAAAAAGATAGCATACCAAATATGCTCAGAAATGAAATCAAGATTGAAGAAACTGGTGAAAAATATCATCTTTCCTGTCCTACTCTCTCTAAGGTTTCAATGGAAACAATTTAAAAGCAGGAGAAAAATTAATGACTAACATTTTTGAAATTTGAGGAGTAGAAATAAAATATAAGAAGCATAAACTCATACATAGGAGTTGCCATATATGTGAAATTTGATTCGTGAAAAATTAATTCTCTAAAAAAGACAGCATAAACACTGTGCAATCCCAGTTTGTATGAAACCCTAATGCAAATTCCGTTGTTCCCAGTGACTGCTTGCCAAGGCCTGTGTGGCTCCAGATACCAGGTCCATCACATAAATTACAAGACTTGCATCGGCACATGCATACTTAGAGCGGCAGGGATACCTGTAGTACAAGCGCTTATGCCTCCTGGAGGGGATACATGCTCACCTTCATGACTATCCACCATAAGCTGTCTTTCCTATCCCCACAAGTTTATTGCACCCTGTACTGCCTCTCTCAACATTGCATATAATTAAAACTCCAAATAAGGGTCCAACACAAATGAGATTACTCTCAATAAAGCAAAACTATCCTCACTGTTCCCTGCATTTCTACGGTTCATCAAAAGTCTACCCTACAATCTTTGACTTCTTTGCTGCTTGATAAATCAGTTCCAGGCACAGCCTACCTATCTAAACATCTAGACCCTTGGTCCACCATGCTTCTTCAGGCTCTGAACATGGTCCTGCTTCTACTATTTGAACCAGTCTTTCTCCACACAGCGTCATTCTTAGCTTATCTCCTTATGTTATCTTCCTCACACAGTAATCACAGTTAGACCTTCTCAAAAAAAATCAAAATTACAATCCAAGCTGTCCTTGTTCCAGCCCAAGTTCATCATTTTTCCCACGTTTAGCTCCCATATATAACATTTTTTGCTTTCAATGTGTTGCATAAGTCACTTGTTTATTTATACTCTCTTTCTCCACAAAAAAAATGTAGGTTTCATGAAGGCTTTTTTCTTTGCTGATAATTTGTTTCTACAGCATTATGTAATACCTGCCCTTTAGTACAACGACTCAATGAGTATTTCTTGGTCAAATGAAGGGAAGTCCTATCAGGCTGCTCTGTGAAATGTCTTTTCGAATGTCCATGTGCTTACATACAGGAAACAGTTCAGCAATTAAAATAGCTACAGAAACTAAATTTATAAAAGTTTTCATGGCTTTGATTTTCTTAGAACTGTGGGTACTTTTACACTTTCTCCACACTATTGGCCTGACATCTCAGCGCAGGATTGCACAGAATTTCAGGGTATCGAGTGCTTCTTTGATGGACTTGGGTTGTTTCACCAGAAGTTCAAAAACAAAAAATCTTTGTAGGCCCAAACTGATATTTGCATTTTGCAAGAGACCCTTCCCCACTCTAAGTCTGTCAATGTACATCCAATTAAGAAACTTTATCCTAAAACTGAGTGTGTCAGGAGGTAAGAGAGTCAGTGTTACGTACAGGGAAGGGTATGAACCTTACCCCTTTAAGAATAAAATACTAAGTCCTTTGCCAGATAAGTTTGAGTGTTCTTGGAATAGAATTTCTTCAGCTAAAACTTAGCTGAAAAATATTTACAAGATCTGTATTAATGAACCAGAAAGTCTACATCATAGAAAATTTAATGGTAAAACTAAAACCAGGTCAGTCTGAGAAAATGATAGGCAATAAGAATTCAGTGACGTTTTATGTGATATAGACATATTCATGATTAAAGAGTGATGCATATGCAATATGAAACAAAATTTACATACAGTGTATACAATCGTTTCTTTCCCTTTAGCTCTAAAAGCAAAGTGCTCAGTGCCCTTCTTATACATCCCAGGAGCAACCAGGGTGGTACTGCCTACAGGAGGTTGAGCTCTCCCGCATCCATCATTAAGCAAACACCCACACACATACTGCTGTCCAGGTTAATGGAGACAATGTCTCAGATGATGTATTTCCCTCTTCCCGTGTGACCTTAGTTGGTATACAGTTGACAAAAACTAACTAGTTTCCTCTGTGTTTTTTGCAAATCTAAGAATACCGACACAGCAACAGAATAGGAGTAAAGCCCTATTATTGGTGGAATTCATTACTCCCTCATGTATCAAAGCATGTGTACTGCCGGCCATGTGCTTTCTGCCAATTCGAATATGTGAGAAGATCCTAAAGGGAGACAAACACAAAGTTATAGAATGAATAAAAGTCAAGTTTTCAACTCTATGTTGCTTGCCTTTTGTACAGTATCAAAAAGTAAAATTTCAAACAATTCTAAACTGTGAAATTACTTTCTCAATTTTATGTTTTGTGCTTATGTATTTCAGGTTTTCTTTTTATTTCTTTTTTGGTTTAATTGCATTGTGATATTTTATTGGTAATATTGTTCACCTAATTATTTAATTCCTTTGCTTGTAATGACAGAAAGCAATACTTTGGGACTATGTAAACCTATGTCTTAATTGGCATCTCTGTTTCTCTCTGAAACTTAGCAAATGGGAGATGAAGTAACTGAATTTTTTTCTCTGTGTGTTTCAGAAGCTATTTCACGTCCTATCTTGAAGTGGTGTCTCACTTTGCTATTTAATGTTTTAATCTAGACAAGAATTTGGAAAAGAGTAACTCTAGAAAGCTATCTCAGGACTTGACTCTAAGAGGTGAAAGAGCCAGTGATGGTTCTCAGGAAGAAGCAATAGACCAGTGGGCCAAAAGAAGGCAACAGTTCAAGGATGGGAAGAGATGCAGCTCAGTCGGGGGCAGTTCTGTCATCAGCAACTTCACTGAAGGCTCTGGTGAGTAGCAACCTGCGTTCCTAAGCAACAGCAAGGGCAGGAGCTCATTGTCTACATTAAATTCCTATCCCTTCATCTCTGAGACATAGATTCTGTTCTGTGGACATGGTGGTGTGGTGGTTATATGATTTTTTCAATGAAAGATACTTGTTAAAATAATCAACTCTTTGTTACATGTTAAGGGACGTCTACTTGGCAAATGACCTTCAGAAAATACATCTGCAGCTATTAAGAAATAAAAGGAGCTTGCGATAAAGATATCCATTATTAGAAAAACACCAGCCAAATGCAAGCCAGAGCATGCCAGGGGAAGCAAGGCAGACAGGCCAGAGAGAAGGGGCTCCCATGTGCTTTGCAGCCCCTTAAAACCCTATCATGCATCATCCTGACCTCACCTTTGACCACACCCTGATAGGCGTGGTCAGGCACACCTGTAGCCAGCTTCTAGCAGGCATGGCTTACACTGTCCCCTACATGCAGCAGCCTACTAAGGCATCCTTGCTCTTTAAATACTAAAATAGCTAGCTATGGGAATGTTTGTTGAGTTAAATTTGTGCTCTCCTTAAAAAAATACTACATTTGTATTATAAAATATATAAAACATAAAAGGATAAGAGCAGTATCATTGATTATAAGTGAAAAATGTCTTCTCAGTTCTTAAATGAAATGTCTTAAAACAGATCTGTACCTTTGTAAGATAGAGTTCCTTCAGGCTATAGTGTGTTACTTAACGCTCATTGTACCTCAGCCTCACAAATAATGGCAGCTAAGATTGGAAACATGAATTGTTCCATGGGGGGTATAGTACATTTTGTAGATCCTACAACTAATGGGGATCTGAGATTGCAGCAGTTGATGTTAAAGGAGACTTGGCTAACTAGTAGGTATGTACTATTCACAAATTACTTAAAAAAGCAAAGTGCTCTTGAGAAAGCATCCATACCAAAACCTCAGTGCACTGTGACTGATTTTTTGAAAGGACGAAAACAAAAAAGTACACTGTTGTGCTATGGAAGGTGTCATTATGAAAAGACAGAAGTGAGAACAGGGGATTGTGCCCTGTAGACAAGCTGGCAGAATGACACAAGTGTCAACAAAGGCAGGGAGGGGTGTCTCATTCATTTCCCAAGAGTGAAACAGAAGCCCGACACAGACTAGGGGTTGAAAGAAGCCATACGCATGTGGGAAAATATTATAAGTAATGTGAAAAAGCAAATACTATGTTATTTCCAGCACAAACTGTGTATCCATGGCATCACATAGAGTGAAATTAAAATGTTTTATTTTGTTGAGAGAGTTTTTATGCTTGCCATTTGATCTGTGCCTAATTCTCCAGGTCTTTCTCTGTGTTGGTCAGCAAGGAACTACAACTGGAATAATATCATTTATACTATGCATACACTGCTGGACTGGACCTTTCTAATCTCCCTTGCTGTTCATTTCACACTTGAAATAGCTCCCCAAGAGTGCACAACTTCCAGAGCTCCAGCCCTACTGCATCACTAATTTGTTCTAATGGTCACTTTCTTCCCCCTTTACATATTATGCAATCTTATGAGTGTTTTTAACTATAATATCAATACTTAACATGTTTCAAAGCTCTTCCTCATCTTTTATTTGCTACTACTAACTAGATTTATTAGTTTTCTTTCTTTAGAAAAAGCCTAATAACTTTTTCAGGAAAAATCATGTAGAAGGAAAACTTGATTTATTATGTATATTAAAGTATTATTGTCCTCTTAATTTTTAGTAACAATCTGATATAAAATTCTAGATTCAGAGCATGAAAGAAACTGGGTCATTGCCCTATTAACAGTGGTGCTAGTAAGAAATTTCAGTTCAATAGGATTTTCATGACTTCCGTCATTAATCCAGTTTTGTTTGGGATAAATTAAGGAGTTTTCTCTTCATTCTTATTATTCTTTTTACCTCTCTTATGAATTTTCAGAATATGTATTTTAAATATATTTTCATGTTTGGCTCCATAAGCTCATTCATATTTTCTCATTCATAACTGTGAGAAACTTATAGCTTCCCGCTATTAGTTTGTCTATTCTCTTTTCTTTCTCCTTTTGTCTGTGTCCTACTGGCATGTTTTGGGTGGACACTTAAAATTTTGGATCCATTCCCTGCATATATTAACACCTTCTTTCTACAATGGTCTCTCTCATCTGTCCTTGCCACAGTCCCAGACAATTCTAGTGCTCTGTTACCTTAGCAATTCAGCCCACATCTAAGTCCATTCTGGGTTTTAACCTATTGTTTTAAAATTTTTGTCTCCTTTTTTGCAACTCTATTTTTTTTATCATTTGGTGGGAGGGTTGGTCTTTTGAAGCAGGGTCTCTCTCTATAGCCCTGACTGTCCTGGACTGACTATGTATACCAGGCTGGCCTAGAACTCACAGAGATCCTCCTGCCTCTCCCTTGGCAGTGCTGGAATTAAAGGTGTGCGTCACCAAGTCTGGTTACTCTATTTTTAATTTTAATAAACTAACTTTACTTTGTGGATTGTTCCAATTTTTATACCTTTGAGAATATTAACTATTTTGTATGAAGTTTTAAACTGTTTATTGATAAACTGCTAAATTACTTCTGCTAGTACACATTTCACATTGGCTGAGCTTGTTGTCTTTCTTTGGGTTTCAGGTGAATATTAGTTATTTGCCTCATTCCTTGACTGCCTCCAGTTGGATAAACTATGGGGGCAGGTAGTGATACATCCTGGATTGATTCTGCTATCTCCACTATAATGATTCTTCTGTTGCAGTGACTGGTTTAGCTCTGGCCCGGGAGACTCCATATCCCATTCAGTGTTTCCTGTCCTCAATGTCGAGAATTTTGCATTTCCAGATTAAGGGTAGCTATTCCTGCATCTTGTATCATGGTGGGCCTCAAAGTGGGGGTAGTGTAAGCATGAAATAACCTTGCAGTTTCTGATGGCACCCCAATTTATCACTGCCTTGTTTGTACCTTGGGTCTCTCAAGTTCTTGTCTTTTTACACTTTCAACACTCTTGGTGATATTCATATAATCCTGTATCAAAACACTCAAATATATTCTATGCTATGGTTCCAAATCATAGTCTACAGATTGCATCTGGGTTTCAAGTGTTACATAGCACATGGCATGATGGTGAATTCTTTTCCTGTTCATAAACTCATCTATACATCTTACAACACACCACACACACACACACACAGAGAGAGAGGGGGGGGGAAGAGGATAGATTATCCTCTCTCTGATATTTATCTGGACTTGGAAACACCTCGTTCTTTTATCACACGTAAAGTTCAGATGTAAATCCTAAATATATGGAATTGAACATACCAGGCTTTCTACTATAAACCCTGCAGAAGTGAAGACATAATTACATTCATGTTTTATAGCATTTCTATCGAGACAAGAGGCTGAAGTCTGTGTTTACTCCACTCTCTTGAAATCATCTCTGAAAACACCTTCCATTTGCCCCTCTGGATTGCTTTGCCAGCCTTCTGACTCTTTTTGCCTAGCACAAGAGTCACTCCTCTTTGGCCTATGTCAAGGGGCTCTCTGGCTTTTTATTAGGTTTGGTTAGTAGTAATATCAAGAGACTGCTGATGGGAATAAGGGTCCAAACAATATTGCTCCTGGTCTTTCTGTGTGGGAGGAAAAGGGCTGACTGTGTCCCTAAAGGCACAGCCCCCATACAGTGACCCATACCACACTGCTTTCTGTGATGTTAAGTTCTTGGGACTGATGGTACCTGCTCCCTTTTGTCCTTAGATAAGCTATTCTCAATTCAAATCTAGCATACTTTGTTTCCTTAAAGGCTGTCCGAACTTTGTTAACAGTGTTCTTATTACTTATCTTTAAGTTATCCATTAGAGGGCACCTTCTTTTTGTGCCATAATCCTTTAGTGCACCAGCACTTTACCTTCTGATGCTGTTGCAAACCACCTGGGCACAAGCCAGCCCTGGGTTATTGTGCCTAAAAGAATAAGGAATTCCCCCGCCCCCTCAACATCACCTTTATAGGTACTCAGAAGTAGAGGAACAAAGTTGAAATGTATTGGAATTTGAAATTTTTTTAAGAATTTTCAATGTGAGATCTTGGTTATAATGAGTAAGAGTTATGCTTCTACAGTTCAGAAGGAACAAGAATGCCAGTATGAGGATTTTACACTTAAGAAAAATCTAAAGGAATACACAGTATGCTGTTGGTGTCTCATGAAGAATTTTAGGCTGGGGTTTTTTTTGTTTCATTTTGTTTTGTTTTGCTGGTTTGTTTTTGTTTGGTGTTGTTCTTTGTGATAACTTCACTTATTTTTGAAATTATAATATAATTACATCATTTTCCTCTTTACCTTCCCTCCCTCCAGGCCCACTGATACACCTCTCCTTGCTCTCTTTCAAACTCACGGTCTCTTTTTTTTCATTGGTTGTCGTTACATGCATGTTTGCATATTTCTACACATATATACTCTTCCTATACAATTTGCTCAGACTTTGTAACGTGATTTCTGTGAATGTTTTCAAAAGTGGCTGTTTATGATGGGATAACCAGTTGTTGTGCTCTTCCTCATTCATCCTTCCTTAGTTGTCTGTAGTTTTTTGTGAAGGGGTGAGTCTTCCTGGGCTTCCCTCCACCCACTACAGTATGCCTGTTGTTGTTGTTCCCGTTCAGCTCTTGTTTAGTCAGTCTTTCTTGTTGGTGAGACTTTATGAGTGTAGCTTCTGACATTCCTAGAAAACACAGTCTCAAAGAAAGCTTCTCACCCTGTCTCCTGCGTTGTTCCATGAGCCTTTTAAGGTGCAGGAGTGCCTTTTGGATATATCCTTTGTGACTGGGCTTCACAACTCTGCATTTGACTGGTTGTGGTCTGCTGCTACAGTCTATCTGTTACAAACAGAAGTTTTCTTGATAAAGCTGAGGACTATACTTGTCTATAAGTATAAGGACAAATATTCAGAATGTGGTTGGGATTATTCTGTCTTTGTAAAGTGGTGGCTGTAGGGTCTCT